ATATATATATATATATATATATATATATATATATATATATATAATACAGTATAATAATAAATTGATATGAACTTTGCATTGATAAAGATTGATGATACTCCAATATGCGTATTACATAAGTGTAAACGTTTCACATTTTTGTAATAATTTTTCGAGTGAAGCATTTAATTTAACCACATTTTGCTACATGGAATTTCGATCATATTTTACCTGTAGCGTGTACAGTAAATTATGGAACACACTCTGTATGTTCGTCGATCGTTCCAAAGTAATCGTGAAACGTAATCGTCGTCACGCGTCCAGTCGCGACAATTCGTGCTTTTCACGTTCATTCGCAAATTCACCCACAGATCCTTCTCCTGTTTGCTAGTTCCCCGAAGAACGAAACCGATCATCTGAAAACGTGTTGTTTGTTGCAGAGTATGCCCAAAAGTGGGAACAACTGTTGGTCCAGCAGCGCGATATCTTGAACGCCGCAATCGATCAAGTCAGTCAGTTTCGTGGACAATTGTTGCAAGAAGAACAGATCAGCCAGAAGATGACGCGAACTCGTAACTTACGATACAATTAACGTGGATTCGTTTACGCGCGCGCGTCAGAAAGAGAGAGAGAGAGAGAGAGAGGATGATGCAGGGAGGAAGAGAGAGAGGGGGGGGACAGAAAGAGAGAAACGCAGATGAATGAATGAACGAATGAGCGAGCGAGTAAACGAACGAGATGATAGTGGTGATGGACGATAATGGGTGAGGAAAGTATAATCAAAAAACAAAAAAAAAAAAAAAAAAGAAGTAAGTTAATTAACCAGTTACCGTAATTTGTCAAATTTGTGTTTGCATACCTTTTATCACAGGCTATGCGATTTGCCTGCTTTTAACGATACTAAACTTCATATTCCTATTTTCTTGGCTTGTCAATCGATCACGAATTAATCAAAAGCTGGATAATCCTTGCATTCCAAGATGCTTGAGAAAGAAGCGGCGATATCAAAGTTAACTGCAGCAGAGACGATCATCGTCCGTC